ATCGCCCAACTCCGGGTTTCGGGGGTTGAGTACCTCTCACATCCCCCTAACATACACACGAACTCGGCCTCGTCTTTCGCCTTGCTGGACTCTCTACGGTCGCTGTGCAAAGTGCTCAAACAGTTTGAGACATCCTGCTGCCTCGCACTTGCGAAAGTCAATGGTACTGGGGTCAGGGATATCATGTACAAAACTGTGGTCCCTAGCACTGCGGTGATCGTGGCCGCACCCGGTGGAAAACGCGTCCCTAACCACATGCAGTATTCGTGTAGACTTATTCTGCACAAATTTGGGGAGAAATTTTCTACTGAGCTCTTCAGCCCACTTCTCGTTCATCTGCACGGATTTCTGATTCAACTCCATTAGCACTTTCTCAACTTCATCTCTAGCTGACTCTACTTCTTCTTTGGCTTGTTCGGTTCTTTGCAATACTTCCTCGCAGCGAGCTCCAAGAGCTTCTAGAATTGCCTTCTCCATCCTTTGGCGAGACTTCTCATCGTCTTCTTTCAATTGCAGTGCTCTGGCTGATCTATCAAAAACTTCTTCCATTGTGAGGCTGTTTGACAACCACTGAGCAGACTCTTCCAACGGGATGTCTCGAAGGTATCTCAAAATCGTGTCACTGCCCCACCTGCAGAACAATTGAATTTTGTAGTATTCGATGCCCAACCGCGCCATGAACTGGCCCCCGCTTGACCGAAGTAAATGGCCAGTCACGGCTTGCGCATGGTCTTCTCCATAACCCAGTGCCAGAACTGCCCGTCTGAAGGTAGCTATCATGGCAGCCTTCGTGGGCGTCTGCTTTGAAGCGCCCACTACCAAGAAGGGGTCCTCTACTTGGTGCCCAGACTCGTGCGCCACTGACAGCAGACGACGAGCCGCCGCCACTGGGCACAGCCTCGGGTTGGAAGAGCAAAGACACCCTTGCGATCTTCTCACACCTTCGCCTTTCGGGTCAGTTTTCGAGGCTGGCAACCAAATTAAGGGTCACGACGCCACAACCTGTCCCTGTGTCTTCCAGGCAAACATGTTTTACTTTTCGCAAGGCCGCCTCAATTTCGCGGCAAGCAAACAAGGCAAAGAGGAGGACGACATCCAAAGGCCTGGCTGGCCCTCCCTCAACCGGCTCTATGTCGTAGAGCTGTTCCAACTTCCTCACATCGATGGCTGCACATTGTTTGTCGGCTCCAATGCCCCAGACACAAGAACGAACTGCATCTTTGACAGCCATGGTGAGGGCATCACTCCATTGTTCACCTCGCCGCAAATGCTCCCTTTTCATAGCTGCCAGGTATTGGGCTGCCGAACGATACTGCCCCGCCTTGAGCAAGGCCCCAGCGGCATCTATAGCCTCAACTGTCAACGGATAGTCTGGGAGGCCCAAACTGCGGGACTTTTGCTCCCACCATTTGATCCGTGCTTGCGTGGAGGCCACGTTGGAGGAAGCAAACTTGTCCGCCTGGAATTCTTCCATTGCCTTGTGAAACAACTCTGGGTTTTCTGCCGTCTCCTGTGCTCTTTTTGCAGAACCTGTGGCGTAAGGCTTGACCACCGGCTCTGTTTTTCTAAAGCCAGGAGTCCTTGGCGCCACCGTCGCAAGTCCTTCAGCGCCCTTTTGTTCAAAGTTGGGAACCAGCCAGCTCTTGTCCACCTCCTGCTCCTCCAGCTTTACAGCAGTTGCGGCAAGTCCCTTCCTTAAATAAGGACCCAGAGATTCCTGGTGGTAGACTTTGGGCACCTTCAGGGGAGACTCCCCCACAGCTTCTTCAGTCTTGATACCTTGGTTCACCAAGCTCCATGACTCATCCTCAGCCTCCAGATCTACAGCTGCTCCGTTTACTTTCATCTCTTCGTCAGATGAGTTTCCAGCTGCCCACCCCTAAGTCGGGAGGGTGAGGGTGGACACACATGGAACTCTGCACAGTCAGAGTGAAATGGACCTGCATCACAGACGTCGCAGCTTGCGGCCGCTAGAGTGTCAACAGTCATGCCACATTCTTGGCAGGTGACCTGAGTCATCAGAGGTGCAGTACGAGCTTCAGCAAATGAAGCTTTCATGGAACGTGGCTGAACTTGTAGTTGCGGGTAACGGGACAAGGCACCCTCTGGATTCCATTCATGGGTAAATTGCTTCATGAGAAAAGGGCTGCGGATCATGCACATGCCGGAAAAGCTGCGGTAAAAGACACAAGAGACAGGACCGAAAACGACCATCAAGAACTAGCAAGCAAGACATAGCAGCCAAGCTCAACAAACCGGACAAACTCAAACATGCAATGCTTGCTCAGTCTCTCCCGCAGTGCACAGTTCTGCGAAAAAAAACGTACACACTCGGTCAATCTCTCTGCTGTGACTCTCTCTCTCTCCCTCTCGCTGCTCCGCAGTGGAGGCGCACTGCGTGTGTGTGAGCCTGTCTCGGCTGATCCACGGCCTTGAGCGGCCGACTTTGCGTGAATTTCACCGACGATCACCCCAAGTGCACGCCGACGACCCAGTCTCCCTAGTCCAAGTGCAAGGCCTCGCCTCCATCACCACTTTTCTGGGACATCTAAGTGTCGCGCCAGTACTCGGGTGAGTGCTCCACCCTGGGCAAGCTGGCGAGCTCGGATGGCATCTGCTGCCTGGAGATGGCATCGGCCCACTTGTTATCCTCACTCCACATGTGGATGGCTTCGAGTGAGGAATGGTGATGGGCCAAGTGCAACGCAGCTTCCTTTGTGATTCTGTTTAGTAGTGGCGAGTTGGCCCAACATGCCCTGTGCGTCACCTCGAATCCGCAGGTAGCCTTGACCTTGCACTGTAAGCCATGCCCATATGCAGCGTAACATCATGTACGCCTCCCATAACGCTTGAGACGCTGGGTCACCCATCGTCGCTCCTATCTGCTCTTCGTCTACGCTGGTCCAGGCCAGCGCAAAGGTTTCAACAGGGCGTCCGTCTTGGAGCCTGACAGCGACCCCCCCCCAAGGGGAGGCATCCACAAGAAAATCAAGGCGGCACTGATGACGGGTGTGGGCATGTATGGTCCTTTCAAGACCCTGTTCGCCACATCCCCAGAGAAACTTTCTGACCCATTTGAGTGCTGGTTCAACTTGTTTGTAATACACCGAAGATCGTCCCCCTAACCGATTTGGGTTTGAGGCCAAGGCTGCGTGAAGCATCCTCACGAAGGGTTTGAGCTGGGGTATGAACCCTGCAGCCCATGACATCTTGCCCGTGAATCGTTGTAGGGGCTTTCTGGAAACCAACGGCCTAGTTTCCAAGGTATCACACAGCAACCTCCACTCATTCAACTTGGCTGCCGTTACTGAAACTGTCACTGTCAGCTTTGTGTTGTCTATCGTCAGCTTTGCACCTATCCACTCTGCTGTAGGACTGGTTGAACCTTTCTTCCAAGCAGTTTTCAACCCTAGTGACATCCACCACATAAGGATTGTATTGAAAATATCGGCAAGCTGAAAAGTTGTACCTCTGGCCACAACAAGTGGATCATCAACGAACACTTGCAACCGACAACGATCAACGTGGAACAATGACTGTGTGGCCCTTGCTACAAGGGCTGCTGTTCGACCCCAAACAAGTGGACCTGTTCTAATGCCAAACAGAACTGTCTTGTAAACGAACCAACCGCCCAATGCACTGCCTGCCAAGAACCTGCGTTCATTGGGTCTGACGTGTAGGTGCTTGAAGGCATCTGAGAAATCCAAGCTCATAAAGCTGACCTGTTCCCCTGGATCCTTTACCTCCAACAATCGCAACACATCTTCAAGTGCATCTTTCAACCTGGGAAGCACCAACCGCTCTTCAAACTCTATGTGTTCGTTGACCCCACTTCTTCTGAGGTCGTGGACAAGCCTCCCTTTTACGGTGCCATCCAACTTTACCTTTGAAATATAGCCAATAGCTGAGGGCACAAGCGGACCATGTACCTGCTCCAACTCAGTACGACTTGGGCTCCAGTCAACAAAGTCCTTGTTGAGCTCCTTCTGAAACAAGGTGTCGGCCTCCTGCTTTGCCTCTTCATACGACTTGTAGTTCTCAGAAGCACCCTCTAGCCAGTCTAATGAATCCCACTTGGTTTGTTCTTCCCAACGAGTGTCTTCTCTCAACTGTGGAAAGACCTTGCCAGGAGGTATGCGGTTGAGTATGCCCAGCGGTGTACCATGGGAAGGCAATGAGGCCGCTTCGGAATCCGGATCGTTGCTCAGCTGGACTAGCTTCTCCAAAAGAGGTCCCCAGAGCCCACGCTCATGGGTACGACAATTGAAGATGCTAGCCAGCCGGGCTCGCACCCACTCAAGCTCATGCCATTGGTCAAACTCACGCTCCTTGCCAACCCACTCTGCCAACTTCCGACCAACCTGGCACTTTCTTCATGGATCGCCAAGGATTTCGAAGACCTCCTATGCACTGTTCGTTCTCCTTTTCGATCTCAGCCTTTACTGAAAACAGTGTGTCTAACTTACTGCCTTCTTTGAGCGTCAACCTCCAACTGTCTGTTCTGGGTCCGGCATCTCGCAGCGCTGCAGGCTTTGGCCAGTTCAATGCACAACCCTTGGGGGTACTCAGCTGCTAGGGCAGTTTTGAACACAGTGTTCCCGTGGTAGTCCGTAGTGAACCCTGTCAACGGTTCGTGACAATGCTGTGGCGGGTCCGGACAACGTTTGCACAATGTCTCAACGAACAACGCATTGCTCAACCAACCCGTCGGCTTTACAAACTCACCCATAAAACAACACTGATCGCCCTTGTACAACATAACCCCTCGAGTTGTAACAACCGTCTGACTGGCTCATACAGCCAAATAAGTGAGCCCTCTGGGTTCTCTAGCGAAAACCAGCCCCCAGCCTTCCATTGCAGAAGACTGAGTTGCGCTGCACGTGAAGCTAACAAATTGGCCTCTTTGACTCTGCTTGACTTCGGCTCTAGACCTTCGGGGTGTCTTGTCGACCTCAACACTTTAACCTTGGCAAACTTGTCTCTTCGACGAGCGCGTGAGAAGGTTCTGCAAGGTGGGGCCATATGTAGCCAGCGCACCCTTCTTTTCTTTGTCAACGCTTTGAGCTCTGCAAAGGTCTTGTTGCACAACAAATTCATACTGGTGACAACTCTGCTGCTTGTCTGTATTTCACCTGGTTCGAGCACATGCAGTCCTTGACGTCTCACCGCCTGTGTCAAACCAGCCTCACCAGCAAACAGCTCCATGAAACTCTCGTCCTTGGCTTCCTCTGTACCCTCAACTGGCATCTCCTTAGGAGATTCTGAGATCTTTGAAGCCTTGCGTGCGTCAAATTCTCCGAGCGAAGCCCTCCTCTTCAGCGATCTCCTCAACTGGTCAAGCCTGTCCGACACGCTCGAAACAACAGCCTCTGGAGTCACCGGCTCGAGGGCGGCACCTTCACAGGTGCCTGGGTCGCTTTGGTGGCCCACTGCCACCTTTCCACTTGCCTCGCCCTTTGCCCTTGTCCTTCTTGGCCTTCTCCTCACTCCATCCCGGGTTCTGGGGACAATCAACGGACTTGTGTGGCTGTCGACACCACTCACAAATGTGAGCAAATCCTTTCTCACATTTCTCATTGTTCCAACCATCTGCCGACCGTGCCCTAGCATAACAAATGTTCACACCTGCACGACTCTTGAAGTACCTCCCGTCCTTGCGTTGCGGGTCGAAGGTCTTCTTTTTGGGCGAGGGCTTCAATGCTGCAACTTCATCTGAGCTTGACGGCGGCAAAGGCCTGGCTGAGACTGCTTTCGACGAGTGCCAGATGGCTGGTTTCTCAAACTCTTTGCTCCAGAACTCAGCATGGCTTGCGCTTGCCCTGATGACCGAATTCCAGGGCTGTCCTGGAACGAAGGCTGAAAGCGCTGGGTGCGTCGCATGGAAAGCCTCTTGCTTCCTCTTCTCCTGCGCCCAGAACTCAGTGCGGCACCGAATATCTGCCTGGGCTGCAAGATGCCACACATCTGGGTGTTGGAGGACACGACTTCGAAACTCTGCAGCATATCGGTCGAGTGTTGCTGCTGTTGCAACCTGTGTCATCAAAGCTGCGGTGCGGAAAATCTGCCACGCCTCCTCCCATGCATCCAAGCTCATTGCACCTGGGAGTTCAACAGCTTTCCACTCACCATCTCTCCACTGCTGACTCACGAATTTCATCGCCCGAGCCAGGCGTTCACCGTGTGGTCCCCACACAGCCATATCGACAAAGGGAGCCTGCACATTGTGCACCTTGTAGTACAAACAACTCAACTGCGCATCTGTAACCTCCTCTTTTTCCAGCGGACTGTCACCTTCTATCATGGCGAACTTTGCCCTCATGCTTTGAAGCTCCACTGCCGGCAGCATCTCTACCTCGAAGTCACAACCTTGGTCAATGATTTGGTTCATCTTGATTTTCAACTTAACGCTGCCACTTGTTGCACTGCTGCTTGTCACGGCACCACTTGTGTTGTCAACTGCCGCATTGCTTGTAAACAACGAAACTCCACCGAATTTGACACGCACGGCACTCAACATCAACCGCCATTGTGCTTTCTCTGTTTCAGCAAGTTCACGGGTGCCACGCCTAGCATTCGAAAGGGCCTGCTCAAACACTTCTGTTGGTATCACTGCAAGAACCTGCAAGGAGGTCAGGTTCTGGTCACCTAGCTGCCGAGTCACGCAGCGAACCAACCCCGACTCCAAGCCACCCCAGGTCGCTGCATCCTGGACAGTCGCCCAGGTGTCCAGAGTGGCTCTATCGGGGAGCAGGCCCAACATGGCGCAAGCGCCCCCACCCCCACCTAAGTTGATGGGGGGAACCCCGCTCACTTGAGCCCAAAATGGCCCCGATAAAAAGGGGGTCATTCGCATCCCTCCCTATCCACCCAAGAAATCTCTAGACTGCTTGTGTTACTTCAGCCATTCTGGCTTCCTCTAAAAAGTTGACGACTCTATTCTAATTCATCAAAGAATTGCGCTCCAGTGCCCACCCCTGAAAGGCACGATCCCCAATGTGCCTCTCTGAGCCGCGGAGCGGGTACATACCCTCGACTTCCTCGACTTCGTCCAACGACTCGCTCTGCCGACCGGCTTGCGGTGCAACCCTAAAAGGCATGATCCCCAATGTACACGATGGGCCGCTTGCAAAAACAAGAAAAGTAAAAAAATCGCTTTAAGCAAAAACAAGACTACTTTTCCAGTCTATGTTCCCCTTGTTTTCATGATCAATCTGACGCCTCTGAGGCCAGATTTGCTTCTGACGACTGTCACTCAGAAGTGATGAAGGACATGAGGGCAAGGCCCCTGCGTCGAGTGAAGGCCATGCGAAAGAGTCTTGGCATCGGCACGCTCGGTGTTTCTAAAGGTGTTCAGACTTCATTGGATTAAGGAAAGTCAACACGAAGTCCAAATGGTTTGAGCGCACAAAGCCACTGGGAGCATGCATGCAAAAACAGAACTACAGTTGAATGTTATGCATGTATCAGACAGTGTTGTGGATCACAGCCCGCTGGGTTCTGAAGAAGGTGACGATGAGGGTGATCACGACGGAGCGCTTGGACGACGTGCTTGGCTGTGGAACGGTACTGGGACCTTCGAGAAAGGGAGCTCCAGCCAAAAGGCCAGCTTCAAGACAGCTTGTTTGTTTGAACTGTTGTCTCAATTGGTCAAGGCTGTCACGTTGCAGCATAATCGTTGACAATGGCAGAAATTGGCAGGGCGGGTGCTTCGATGAAGAGACTATCACGGAAGAAGGATGACCAGGACCAGGTGCCATCAGCACTCCGAGCTCCCGGTCCTGTTTTTCATTCCTATTTCTATTATTGCCAGGCGCCCTCTAGCCGTTTGATTGAAGATGCCCCTACAAAGTCTGAAGAGGAGAAAGAAACTTTGAGGCACTGGCATTGTTTGGGGTCCATCCTTATTTGATTTACACTGTCACCATGGGTCAAAGTGTTTTGACTGCACTCTCTCGGAGTTCAGTTCTTTTCAACTTTCCAGGCCTACAAGGTGAATGAAACTCCAGACTCGTCTCCCCCCACCTCCTGTCCTGATCATTGTTATGATATGTTATGATGCTAGACCTGTTGGAGTCAGCTCAGTGTTCTCCGAGGAGTGTGATGAGCCAAGCTCGGGTGTGAACATGTCGGATTGGTCACCTGCTCCACCTTCGCCTATTCCTACGGGATGCGCGCCAAGCCAAAACCAGGTCGCACCAAAAGCCAAAGCAAAGGCGAAAGGTAACAAGACTGCTCAGCCCAAAAAAGGCATTGAAGGGAAAGCCTGCAGCGAAGACAAAAGCAGCGAGGAAAGAAAAATATTCAGATGAAAAGAAGCTACACAGTGCACCTGCTGGCAACTCAAGACTCGTGTGTCAGAATCATCGTGTATTATCTACCAGCTGTTGAAGAGTTGAAGGCAGTCTTAAATGTTTTGAGGTATATTCACTAGCCTGGAAGGCTGCACGGGCACAGGGCAAAACAAAGGAAGAGCGGCGCGCTTTGGCTTGCCTTGCGCGCGAGATCTCCTTGGTGAATTTGCTTCTTTACTAGAATGTTGTTCCTGTGCCTCCTTGAAACATCTTGAACCTGGAAACTACAACACTCTGAGTTTTGATCTTAGGTTTCAAAAGCATGGATCCTTTGGGTTGATCCAAGACCCACACAAAATGGATGTTTCGCAAAGGGGTCGCGAAGCGTGAAGAAAAAAAATGGGTCCCACGACATTCGGCCCTTTTATCCCAACAATCAAACACAAAAACTCGGGGGGCCACAAAGAACCACTTCCCAAATGGAAAGGAACCACTTTGAAGTGGACTAGATATTGGAGGGGGTCTTGGTAGGCTTGGGCGAAAGCATCTTTTTTTATCTCCGCTTTGGGTCAAGCATACGCAATGTCTATTGCGGCAAGGTGCCAAAATCAGCCTGCTTGACAGAAGTCAAAAAGATTCAAAAAGCATTGTCTTCTAGGGTGCAAGTTATGATGAAACAGCAAGCTGAGTCGAATTACTTTCAAGACTGCAGGTGCCGACAAAACAGCTGTTTCGGGTATGGCTTCTCCAATGTTGTGGTGAGAACATGTGCTTTAATTCAACCTTGCTGCCGCCCGCATCCATGAAAGCCAGTCGAATTACAACGTGCACTCGTCTGGATCTTGTTGAGCAAACTCTTGAAATCCTATCGATGTTATATCACTAGTTGTCTTTCATTGAGAGTTTGGAAAGGAAACCAATAGCAGGACCCTGCGACGCAACCACTGCTCATTACTCACCTCACAACCAAACCTTAGAGCCGCAGCATGCCACGGCCATCATTTCACCGTGGTATTCAATCGATTCGATCTCCCACAGCCAGGATGGCCTCGCTTAAGGCATCGGCCATGCCTCCCCTTACCCATCCAAGCAAGTCCTAGGAATCGGTCACAAGTTGAAGACCTGAAGGGCCTGAAATCGACGATCACAAGCACTGACTCTCATTGCATGGTACTCTCATGATTTGCTCTCTCCTCTTTCGGGATCTTTGCCATATCCGTGTGCTGCTGTCCATAACCTTGGGTATGAAGTGGTGTGAACAAGGAAACACACAAAACACACAACACACAAGGCTGGTGCTGGTGAAGTTGGTGACGTTCGTGCGCCACGCTGGATTGCTCACCAGCGCATTGAAGATCAGCTTGAGATCGGTATCTCAAAAGCAAAGTGGCAAAAAGATTGTCCGTCTTAATCCATCTCAGTTCTACAAGTCTTTGCGAGCTGCGCAATTGCCTTCCCATCTGAAGCCCATTGTCTTGAAGGTCATGTCGCTAAATTCCAACATGGTCAATCCACCCTTAGACCACGGCCAGGTTTTTGACGGCGAGGTCAGACGCATGCTGGGCCAAGCCCAGGACATGATGCCCTCCATACGTTCTGGCATGCTGGTCATAGAGTGCAGCCATATTCTCACCCTCCTGAAAACACAAACACACACACATGAGAATCATTGCCACTGAGTGCTATGCCTTGCTCAGGAAGCAAATACTATATCATGGAAAAATCGTGCTGATGATCAGGTTGCAGGAGCAAGCAAAATGCATTTGTGCCACAAATCAGCCTTGCCTGAGCAAAGACTATCCGGGCTTTGTTCAACTTCTGGCTCTTGATGAAGCCAATCACAAGGGCGGCAATCTAAGAACTTGCTCAAAGAGCAAAAGAGTACGCGAATGCAAGCTTTCTCACCAGAATCAGTTCTCGGAGCAATACTTCAAAGCAGTTCGGCGCTTAAATTCCCGACACTACATCGTTTACAATGAGATGCTCTGTGTGCCAGGCCCCAACAATAATTGGGATCATGCACAGCACGAAGGCCAAGATTTTGAGGCCTGTGCTCTCCTTGGCGTCACAGCAGACTGAGAAGCTCGAAGCTCGCGAAGCGCGCGAAGCTCGCGCAGCGTAGAGAAGAGTTGAGAAGCACACCAGGTTGTCCCACATCGTAGAGAAGAGTGCACAGCCGAGGAACAAGAAGGCGATTCCCTTGCCTCGGGGCGAGAAATTGTATGTATATATATTTTAATTATGCGGTCTCAGGTGTATTTTCTGGTGAATGCAGGTAAATGTACATGCAGGTGAATGCAAAGAGCATCATGTGCTGTGACTCTAGAATAATGAAATTCTCCGGCCTGTCACTCGAGTCAGGATGTTGACATACTTGGAGAAGTACTCACGGTGGTCTTTTACCTGGTGACACTTGTTGACGAAATCGTATCAATCAATTCAAGAGAATCATGCCAGGGGTACCGTTTTCATGGTCTTGAAGCATGGAGTGTCCATCAACGCGAGAACACCTTGGATTCCACACCGTGTCAATCTTTGCTGATCTACATCTCTCTCAAGTTGTCGGGAAGAAAAAAGGCTTGACAAGAACGCACCTCCAAAGAGCAAAATGTAGCACATCTCGAGAAAATCCACTAGCCTCCGCAAGCCAACTCGGCCAACCAGTATGTTGCTTGCGCAAACCAACGCAATCAGCTAAGGCGGCGACTCGAAGGAAAAAAAGAGGCAAATGCCGCCAATGAATGCTCCCAGCCTTGCTTCAAAATTCTGACCCAAATCTTTTGTGGAGCATAGTGGCGTTGTTTTTAGAAAAAAGACTGCAAGAGCGTGCTCTGAAAAGCTCGACTTGCATATATCTAGAGAAATGGCAATGCATCATCACTTGGTCAACTGAGGTGTGACCACTCCACTCTGGATTCAACCCTCCTTATGTTGCTGCTCTATCACTCAAATGATCATCAGCTTGGCTGTCTGTAATGTGCCTGCCATTGTCAGCTGGCAGATTGAAAGGTTGTGAGTGGCAGGCACTCACAAGACTGTTTCCTTTCAGTTTCTGAGTGCCACAGCATAGTGGAGCAGGCTGCTGCGAAGAATGCATTGCTCCTAAGCGGAATTCATCGCATTGCACTAGTGAAGGCACCAGAGCTGCAAGATGCCCATTAGTAATAGGATCAAGTAGGTATGTATTGTTCTGCACCACAAATGAAGAACGCTACTTGCAAACCGCTTGGGCCCTTTACAAGCAAAAACGCTGAGAACACTTTACACTACTTGGGCATGCTTAAACTTAGAAGTCTTCCCTTGTGCCAACGTCCAAGGTTCCAGTCTGGGTTCATGGAACTACCTTTGGTTGCTGCAGCCTGCTGTTGGTTTCCACCTGAGGTCGCTGTTGGGCTCGCAGAAGAGGTCGCACGCACCAAAGCTGTGGAGCTGTTTCTACCGAGCCTTGTGGTCCAGGACCCGGCTGATTGTAGTTCCCATATGGGCCTTGAGCTGCCTGAGGAAAGCCTGGTTGAGGCCCATAGCCGCCCTGTGCATAGCCCTCAGCAAGTACAAAGGAAATCACCAGACTCAGGATTCATTTGATCAATGTCTGGAAATCTGGAAATCATCAAAAGAATCGGATCCGATGATATAGCTTTTTATATCATTCACAGAAAGGCTGATAAGACCTGGACCCTTTGGTCATAGCCACCGTATGGTGGGCCTGCGGGCTGTGTCAACCTGTGCAAGCCGCTCAATTTTTGGGTCACGGCGCTTGCAGCTTCAAACATGCAGGGTGTACGGCTGCTGGTCCCCGGCATAGTTGTGTGTAGAATACATCGAGGTCTGCAGGCCTGCGAAATCAAGAGCAGCTTGAACTTTTAACACATCAATCTTGAACCTTGCTTTCCTTTCCTTTCCTTTTCTGCTTTTGGCCTGCTCCTAGTTAATTAAGTAGGCGCTTACTTAATGAAGTAAGGGAGTAAGCTCCTAGCTAGGACGCAGGATAGCTCACACTAATGATTTGGCTCCTAGATTTTTAGGGAAACTTGGCTTTCAATTGTTTGCCACATCCTCGGGGCATCACACCCAGTGTCTGAGGCCCGCACCCTCAAAAACCTAATGACTAATCACCGTCCACTTAAAACACAACAGAACATGTCATGAGCAAGCAATGCTGCGAAGACATCAAGGATTTTCTGCAAACCACAGAGGTCAAAAACGATGCTCTAGTCACTGGTCATGTCCGCGTGCAAACAACATGGAGTGCTCTGGACAAAGCTCTTCATGTGCTTTTCCTGCTCAGCAATGCAAGGTCAGCAATGTTTTACTGGTCCTTGGCCACAGCCACATGCCGCTCATTGGGCCGCTCATCGTTTCATGCCGCACAAGCTCAAGCTGAAGAGTTGTAAGGTTCTCACTTTCTGCGATTGCCGCCGGCTAAAGGAGCACCAGCAACTGAGAGCAAACCTGCGTGCAGCATCTCAAAGTAGAGGACTCGAAATCGAAAGCCTGAAATGCCCCAAGTGAGGCCATGAAACTCAGCTGCTTATTCCTATCTCAAACATCAGGGAACATGTTCCGCCCTGAGGTGTGTGCTTGCAAATAAGAAGCGCTCCCAATATCACGCCTCAAGATCAGTCAGTCGGTGTCTTTTTGCATCACAACCCACAGATTTTGTGCAGTCAAGGAAAGCGGATTTGTAAAGTGGTCGAGCGATCCCATGTGATTCACCAATTTGTCTCGGTCGCGGCAAACACAACAACTACAAGCGAACCAAAACCACTAAAGCCACCAAAACCAAAAAACATGGCGAGCCCTGGCACTCAATCTTCCCACCGATGGATGTCAGCTAAAAGTTGAAAAATCACACATATTTTTCGCTAGCTTCTTGTTACTACTAGTAACAAGTGCCTCGCTAGTAGTAACAAGTGCCTTACTACTAGGAACAAAAAGCTATTAGAATTAAACTTAAAGGACACAAGCGATCGGACTCGACAGGCACCTGCAGTGGAAGCTTGGGCGAAGGTCACTGACGACAAATCGATGGGCCTGCCGAGAACACAGGCCATCCATGGCCATCCCGGTATGTCCACTGTTTGGTCACAGCTGGTTGGCCTGGACACCAAAGAAGAACCAGCTGTGACCAAACTCGGCAAGTCAGTCTTCTCCTGGAGTGTCTTTTCGACAACTTGCCAAACAACTTGCAAAAAAGAAGCATAAAAATGGGACGTTGCCTTCAAGTCAAAATGAATTGCAGGCATTTCAGGGCAACACCTTGAGTCAGGCGATTCAGAGTTGCTATCTGCGTCAACTCTTGGGGCCCGGGCTTGTAGCGTTCGGACTTGTCATCCACAGGGTACCACTCCAGTGCCAGATCTGAGACGTAACTTCAGCCGCTTCGGCTCAAACGATTCTAACGAGCAACCGTTTTTCAAACGATTCTGGAGCGTGTTCAAAGAATTTGAGTCCCAAACTCTTCTTGCATTGGTCAAAGGCGCAGTGTTCGCCGCAATCCTTACCCCAGCGCATCGAAAACACAGGTCGCATAACGCCGCCCAACCAGGCCGATGACGGTACCGACGGTACGACGGTATCGTTGGTACGTCCCAACATCGGTTCACTCACTGGGGATTAAGTAGGGGCTCGTCGCCGCCGTACGAGTCTACAGGCTTAGCATTTTGCACAAGCACAGGTTACTTGGTAGAAGGCCCACCCCCAAAGCATGCCACCCAGCACTTGAAGGGTTTGTGAATGTCTGTTATCTCAAAGTCAAGAAGACATGAGAAGCCTGGTTTCCTGGGACGCCACACCCATGACCACGACTTCCTGCAACAGTGTCCATGGCCTGGGCAATGTGGCACAAAGCAGCGATTTGGGTTTGTCTTGGACTTCATCCTTGCTTCGTTGCTGTTGCTGATGTCTCCTCTGGCCAAGGCTGGCCTGTTTTACGTCTATGAATCCGACATGGCCTTCCTTATATACTCAGATTGCATGCTCAGATGGGAAACAATTTGTTGGCTTGCCTGCTCGCAAGTCCATGGGTACTCCATTGTAGGGTTCATGTATTGTGGTGATATTGCATGTGAAACAGCACATGTCCAACGCTGGCGAAACAACAACTGGAGTCTGGAGTGGCACATGTTGCCTCTGCTGGTGCAGCAGTATCCTTCGATATGACGGTGTACCCCTGTAGGGCATCGTGAGTTTTGCAGTACAAGGCTCTGTCCGCAGCTAGCTGACCTTATAGGTTCCATCTAATTCCTTGTGGAAGTGTGATTCCCACATCTGGTGAAGTGGTAGGCTATCACTCCTTGAGGGGTGATGCTGGGTTACCTGTGGCGGAGCATTGGTGAGGGTGAAGCGGCGTATTGCTCGGCGCTGGTTCGCTTTCCTCACCAGTGAACCGGTGAATTCTTACCATAAGCAAAGCGGTGCAAGTTCACCGAGGGCGAAGGGGGAATGTGTATTTTTCTGCTGTGAAAGAGCAAACGACATCCTCCTGGTACAAGTAGGGACTTTTGTGAAAACAACAGACTTAGTATTAGAGTATCGTAGTGTCTTGATCCTGAGCTAAGTCTGAGGCCCTGTTCTTCTACTTCCCAACCTTGAACCGACGGAACTGATGTCCACCATGAGAAAACAAAGCACCGCTGGGTTGTGAACCACTCGGGCAGATCTGTTGACCTCCCAAATACTGATGTCGAATCACCTGCTTCGGCCAGATCACACCAGTCCCACGGCGAAACTTCAATCTGAAGAAATACAACTGTGAAACACATTCCTCGCCTTGGGGCAACAAATGTATGGATGGGTTCTGAAGTCCGCCCACCTGCGGATTCAGGTCTACACAAAGCGTAGAACACAAAATGGATTGTTCAAGTGGAGTTGGTGGTGTGTCAATCGAAGCTGGCTGCAGTCGTGACGTCCACCTGAATTCCCATCCACTTGCCGCTTTGCAGTCATCAACACCTCAAGTGGGATCTAATTACTCAAACAAAATACTCTAGGACCAGCAGCTAGAGCCAAAACCACGCGACAGTAGAAAGTTGAAAAATTGACTAGGCTTTTGGAGCACTGGCAGACTGCCCAGGGGCAAATTTGGAAAGAACAATCTTTGTCTGTATATACAGACAAGTTCATCTTTATATATATCCGCCGACCCCTGCTCTGGCGAAGGCAGGGGCGGCGCCTGGGACCACCCTGAGCTCTCCAAGTCCTTACTTTTCTGGGCCCGAAAGCAAAAGCGCCAAAAGTTCGCACTTGCTAGACTGTGGGCTCTGGGCTCTGTGCCAGACTGTGGGCCATACTGGCCGTTGGAGCAGCCAGCTTCTGGATTCTGGACGCTTCAGACGCTCCAAAACCTCGCACTTGCCAGACTGTGGGCTCTGGGCTCTGCGAGACTGTGGGCGGAGTTGCGCAGGCTGTGGGCTCGGGGCTCTGGCGCGCCAAATCCTTTTTTCTAGTGGCCCGAAACTGCCCTTCAAACGCCTCAAACCCCTCAAACCCCTCAAACGCTTCGACACTTGCCAATGGTTGTGCCATACTGGATTCTGGACACTTCAGACGCTCCATGGACGCGTCAGACGCTCCAAAACCTCGCACTTGCTAGACTGCGGGCTCTGGGCTCTGCGAGACTGTGGGCGGAGTTGCGCAGGCTGTGGGCTCGGGGCTCTGGCGCGCCAAATCCTTTTTTTCTAGTGGCCCGAAACCGCCTTCAAACGCCTCAAACCCCTCAAATCCCTGAAACCCCTCAAACCCCTCGAACCTTGCCAATGGTTCTGCCATACTGGCCGTTGGAGCAGCCAGCTTCTGGATTCTGGACGCTTCAGACGCTCCAAAACCTCGCACTTGCCAGACTGTGGGCTCTGGGCTCTGCGAGACTGTGGGCGGAGTTGCGCAGGCTGTGGGCTCGGGGCTCTGGCGCGCCAAATCCTTTTTTTTCTAGTGGCCCGAAACCGCCTTCAAACGCCTCAAACCCCTCAAAACCCTGAAACCCCTCAAACCCCTCGAACCTTGCCAATGGTTCTGCCATACTGGCCGTTGGAGCAGCCAGCTTCTGGATTCTGGACGCTTCAGACGCTCCAAAACCTCGCACTTGCTAGACTGTGGGCTCTGGGCTCTGTGCGAGACTGTGGGCGGAGTTGCGCAGATTGTGGGCTCGGGGCTCTGGCGCGCCAAATACTTTTTTCTAGTGGCCCGAAACTGCCCTTCACACGCCTCAAACCTCTCAAACCCCTCAAACCCCTCGACAAATTGCCAATGGTTCTGCCATACTTCTGGATTCTGGACGCTTCAGACGCTCCAAAACCTCGCACTTGCTAGACTGTGGGCTCTGGGCTCTGTGCGAGACTGTGGGCGAAGTTGCACAGACTGTGGGCTCGGGGCTCTGGCGCACCAACTCCTTTTTTTCTAGTGGCCGAAACTGCCCTTGCTGGGCTGTGGCACACCATTTCCCTTTTTCTCGTGGTCCGCAACGGCCTCTCTGGGCTATTTCTTGCCTACCCTAAGTCACCCAAATTAGTAATTTTACTAACCATAAAATTTACGTAAATTTTTGGTTTTACTAAGGAAAATTTACGTAAAAATTTACGTAAATTGAAAAGTAAATCCAATTTAGGTCATGAGTAAATCCAATTTAGGTTATTAGTAAATCCAATTTAGGTTATTAGTAAATTTTTTTAGGTTATGAGTAAATTTTTGTGAGCATGATTTTGAAGCAGAAAATGTCTCAATTTATGTGAGTTGGCTTTCTCCAAAGAGGCAGGTTTTCTACAGGACAACATGTACTTGAGGATATTTGCGCTATGGATTTTTGTTTTTGTTGACTGAGCATGCCAGGAGGTGTGGACTTTGCCTTTACTTGAAGGGATTGCATTTACTTGAGCATGTGCACCCTTCTTGACTTGAACAAACCATTTTTACTTGAGGGTGTCTACTTGAGGGAGTAAATTTACTTGAGGATATGATTCTCTGATGGTTTTTGCCAGTGTGAGGGTGCATGTTTTATGTGAGAGATCTCTTGGCTCTGTGAGTTGCTGTTAGCTCTATTTGGTTTGTGACCATGGCTGCTTTGGAAGCAGCTGCACAGGTAAAGATGCAAGCTGCTGTAGAGGAGAGGTCATTGAAGCAAAGTGGGAGGTTTCGATTGGTGGCTGACCCCAGCATCCCAGTGACTGCAATCCAAGGTGCCCTCACAGGGTTCTTGCAGTTCAAGCAGAAGAAGGATCTATGGAGTTTGATCTGCCCACCCCCCACTGGCCCCATGTCCTATGGATGGCACACAGCTCCTCATGGAGAGTGGTTGTCCAAAGTTGCCGGTTTGCTTTTTGACTTGGTGAAAGTGTGTCCAAACACAAAGCTCACTCCTACCAAGTTGAGTGCGACCCTCAGGGCAATGAATACAAACAGGGACTTAGAGTTTTCTTCAACGCCCAAAGGCCATACCACTGAGGATATGATTGACAAGTGCGGCCTTACCTTGAGGATTTTGTTGTCCATGCTGCGAAACCTCAAGCTCAGCCCTGGCTTGAGAACTAAAGTGTTCAGGATGCTGTCCAAGCAGGATCAGGTGAAGATCGACTTGGTGCTGGAGAGGGTTGTCTTGCCAGCAGAGATGATGGGCATGGAGTATGTGGATGATGATGAGAAATCATCAGCAGCCATCGTTTCCATGGAGAGCAGCCCTGCTCCTTCTCCTGAGTCTTTGGCCATTGTGCCCTACCAACCACCCAAGCCCAAAACAGAGAAGAAGTCCCAGCCGTATTACTTGAGCCCTTTCCCTGCAATCTTCCAGAGGATTCTGGGGCAGAAGCCAAAGCCAGAAGCACCAGCTTCCAGTGGCACCAGTGCACCAATGGCACCAGCACACCAAAAGCCCAAAAGTCAGGGCACCAGTGCACCAATGGCACCAGCACACCAGAAGCCCAAAAGTCAGGGATCCAAGAGCAAACCGGTTGAATCTTCCCTCCTGTCCAAGGCCATGTCGTATCAGCCCACCATGGTGGTGAAAGAAAAGAAGAAGGCAAATGAGAAGAAGTCAGTGAAGAACAGTGGCCAGAAAAGACAGAGTGATGCTGAGCCCAAAAGCATTAAGCCATCACAAAAGCCAAAGGAGAAGAAGGGCACCCACATCCAGCAGGAAAGCCAATATGAGGCAGGCAAAATGGCAGAGATCCGCTCCTTTTTCATCAAGCAGTACATGGAGAGCATGTCCAATATGGGCAAAAAGGTGACTCGATCTGATGCCTCCAAGGCATGGATGACTTCGACCAAGAGGGCCCAGCTTCTGGCACAAATGCCTTTGCCTGAGCTGAAGAGGAGGAGGTTTGTTCCCAAGGACTGTGAGGAGAACCCCTTCCCTGCCATGATCGAAGCCTCCAGTGTAGAGTGAGCCGCTTTTGCTCTTGACCTTTAGTAGCTGTAGCTTTGGTAGCTTTGCATGGCAAAGCCTGGGGATGTCTAGCTAGACACCTTAGATGGTGGAGAAAAGAAACAGTTGCTCTTGTTTTTGTTAGAGTTTTTTGGCAGCGTAGCAGACTTTGCTTGACCATGATAACTTGAGGCTTGAGTATGGCAGACTTTGCATGGCAGACTTTACTTGAGCATGTCACACTTTACTTGAGCATGGCACACTTTACTTGAGCATGACAGACTTTACTTGAGCATGACCAACTTCACTTGAGATTGGCAGACTTTACTTGAGCGTGGCACACTTTACTTGAGCATGGCAAACTCTACTTGAGCATGGCAGGCTTTACTTGAGCATGGCAGCCTGTGCATGAGAATGTGTCTTTAGTATGGCAGTCTTGTATGAGCTGGGTCATTACCTTTGATGTTTGATGATTATGTGCTGTGTCTCCTCATCAAAGTGGCTAGGGTGTAAGGCATCTTTTCATAGAATCAACATAGTGGATCATCACATGCACAGAGTTCCCACTCCAACTAGATACCTTTTCATGGCAAACTCATGCAATGCATTTGAATCCTTTGAAACTTTGTTGATCTCCAGCCTCACACTTTGGCCATGTCCTTTCGACTTTATGTGAAGAATGTCGATTTCAATTGTCACAAATATGTTGCTTGGAGTCTAATAGTATCTTCTTATATGATTTTGGTCCCTCATTGGTTAAATGACTTTATGGCCATACCTTGGCAGGACCACATTGTGTGTTCAAGTTTTTAGCATCTCAGGAGATCAGATGGGCATTGGAAAACAACAACATCTTGGAATGCACTGAGATCAAAATCTGCCGCCCTAGTTACACATCGAAGTTGAGCACTCCTACAGAGCCAGACCATTGCTCAATCTACTTGTCCTTTCCCAATGAGCAGCTCCTACAACAGGCTCTGGCTCAGATCAATGGGAAACACCTCCTAGGATTGAGCAAGCCTGGGAATAACAAATGATGCTTGGGTAGCTATAGCATACTTGTATGTTTCCCTGTGGTGTTAGGGGCCAATTTGTGAATTCAATTCAATTGAAGAATTATTGTTTGGAAACATTGGAACATTGAGATCATTGTGAATCTACCTGAGGTTTGGCTGCTGAAGTTGCGCGACCAATGAGATTACCAGCTGCCCCAAAAGGACCACCTCCTCCTCCTCCAGTGCCACCTCCTGGAGCTACAGACCCTTGTCATTGCGCATTTTATTGCTCTTATTGTTCATGGTTTTGACCACTGGTGAGTATACTTTCACCTGAGCATGTGTCCTTTCTACTTGGAGTTGCTGTTTGTAAACCACACTGTGAAGGAACACAGTGATGCTGGCAGCACTGTGCAACTAAGGCTAAGGCGAATTGCCCAAAAGCTCCTGTGATGGCTCCTGCATTGCAGCCTATTCGCCCTTCATGTTCATCCCCTTTGACACCGGTCCATGCAGCTCCTGTTCATGCAGCTCCTCCACCACCACCTCCTCCTAAAGCTCGAGGACATATGAGTGTGGGATCAACTGATGCAGTTGCTAAGCAG